GCTGTGCCAGGCTGTGTCGTGCCATGCCAAGCTGTGCCTGACTGTGCCGAGCTGCACCGGGTTGTGCCAAGCCGCGCTGAGCTGTTCTGGGCTGTTCCAGGCTTTGCTAGGCTGTGTTGTGCCATGCCAAGCCATGCCAGGCTGTGCCAACCTGTACCAAGCCATGCTGGGCTGTTGCAGGCTTTGCTGGGCTGTGCTAAGCTGTGTTGTGCCATGCTGAGCTGTGCCAGGCTGTGTTGTGCCATGCCAAGCCGTGCCTGGCTGTGCCGAGCTGCACCAGGCTGTGCCAAGCCATGCTGAGCTGTGCCAGGCTATGCCAAGTTGCACCAAGATGTGCCAAATCATGCTGGGTCATACCACGACATGCCAGGCAGCACTGAGCTGTGTCAAGCAGTACCAGGCTATGCCAAGCCAGGCTGTGCCAGACCGTATCGTGCCATGCCAGGCCATACTGAGCCATGCCGAGCCGTGCAGACCGTGCCACGCCATACCAAGGCCCCACGGTAGCCAGGACAGGACCGCAGCTGTGCCGCGGTGGGCTGAGGTCGCCGGCACGGCTCAGGTCAGGCCCAGACGCGGGACCCCGGTGCCATGCCGGACACCCGAGGCCACGCACCAGGACTGGGGACGCGTGGGGTGACGTGGCCCCGGGGTTGTCCCGCGAGCGGCCCCCCCCCAGGGCGCGGGAGGCCCCACATGCCTGGGTCCCCCGCTGCGCCGGCTGCCCCGCGCTGTGACCTCCCGGCCGGTGTCACCGGGATAATGACAGGGTCGCTCAGGGGGGCGGAGGAGGAGCCGGTTTTAAATAACGTGCAAATTGGACACGTTATTTGTGCGGTTTCCTCTGGCCGTGGGGATCCTCCCCCCACCCCCCCGCAGCGTGACTAAGAGGTGGCGGCCGTTCGGGGGGGACGGTCCCCTCCAGTGACTCACCCGGGGTCCCCCCCCAGCCATGACGTGGGGCTGGTGGCCCCACGCCAGACCTGCTGTGCTCACCTACTCATTATGGGGGACCCGGGGGGGGGGGGGATTGGCTGGCACGTCCCACCCGTGCCGTGATGCGCTGCGGTGGCCGCCGGGACCTCCGACTGACCCCAGGACCGCGGCGGGGAGGGTTGTCTGGATGCCTGGGTCCTCCTTAGGGTGGGGGG